AAATTCTTGCTCTTGTGCCAGAGACAGGTCTTCAGATAAAACCTTCGCCTGAAGAAAAAAGAAAAGAAAGAAGAAATGAGCGAAGAAAATGGAAGAAAAACACGGAAAAGCACATGCTGACAGCAAATGACACAACAGCACATCTGACATCAGGCGACTCGTAYAAAGCAAGACAACAGCGGAGATTGACACAGTGCTTTGAGACACCAGAGCAGGCTAAATCAAGGGTCAGCAAAATATCCCCACAGAGACAAAATAGATCACACACTCCAGCTTTAGAAAACATTACAGGTATTGTTATATAGCAAATAAGTTCATAAGCTGATAAATTAATTGAATGATCATTAAGAACAATAAAAAAAAAACAATTTATGATGACATTCAAATTATGAATGCTAGTCGAGTAAAAAGATAGTGTTCTATCTCTAAACCTATAAAAAAAACACATTTGAAAATATTTTATTAAAATGAATAAATAAATAAATGGATGAATAAATAAACAARTAAAAATAAATAAATAAATTGATTAATTATTATGATAAATCAATCAATCATTTTTTAGGGAAACTATCAGGTAATGATGGGCAAAATGTCATTGCCAACCATGCATTCACAGTTTTTTTTACTGGAATTATATACATATGTGTTAYTGGATGATTTATTGGGCAAGCCCACATTACATGTACCTCAAATAAACCCTATTTACCAAGCTTCATGCAACTGGCCTCTGATTTAATAATTAATTATTAGGATTTCTAAATATGAGGGGAAATATGGTAATTTCTAATAGTTAATAAAACATCTGAGTGTGTTCTTTTTACTGTAACCAGGTGATATTGAACAACTGCTTAATGATGCAAAGTCTTGGCCAAAAGGGCCTATCAATTGGTCAGAAATAGCGAGGCAGTACAACATAAAACATAAAAACAAAGAAGGTTGCCCCCCAAATGCAGGGCAAATAATGAAAAAGCTTTTGGAAAATTCAAAAGACATTAATATTACTGACTTTGAAAATCCAGATGATCATACAAAAGGTAATTCAAATGAATGATTATCCTTTTAGAAAATTTTAAAATGCAAAAAACCCTTGGTAAAGTGCACACAATTAGCCTGCGTGGCAGCTCTAGGGGAGGGGGGAAGGGGGGGAACGGAAGGCTACCACACAATCTGTAAATAAACCAGTGAATTCAACACCTATTGACTATTTAGAAAATATTTAACATACAAAACACAACTTTAGCTTCAACACGTGGCCACTGGATAATATTATATTCAAAAACTCATACATAATTAATGAGTTATTAGTCCAATAGAAAGAGCCTATTTGGTCAGATGCATGGACCTTTATATCTGATAAAACACTCCTTATTATTATTCTTAAAGAATAAAGATATAAAGGTCCATGACCCTAGGAAAGTTCTCAGGTTTGAGTGTTGGAGTCTCTCTCGTGTTTTAAATCATACATTATAATTATATTATTGCATTCTTTTGGCACTTTTGTTAAATGTTTGTTTTGAATCAATTTTGCAATTTATACCACTCCAAAAAAACAAGGTAAATAGAAGAAAGCTTATTCCTTTTTTTAATTGAGAGCAAAACCAATATCAATTAATTCATCAAAGTTCTAAAATTGATCCAAAACAGGAATAAGCAAAGATGTCAAAAATGATGTGAATAAGTTATCTGATTGTCATGTGCTTTTTGGCTTTGATCTGTAAATTATAAGTCAATCAAGTTCAAATACATCTTACTTATTATTGCGATATTCATACTTACAGAATTCAAAATACGCCGGGCACTTAAAAAACAAACTGGGGGTGAAATCAGTTTTCCTGTTGCAAGAACAAATGACCAGATCAGGACAGGCATCAAAAAKTTCATTGCTGATGGAACATATGATGTTGGGGTACCTGTTGTTGAGAAAAGAGAAACTAAATTAGCACTTAACAATCAAGGGGAAGTGGTCCACAAGTATACAAGTGTTTCAGCTAGAAAGATCCCACTCAGACAAATTAGAACTGAGGCTCTTACAAGGAATAATGATCTGCTTAGAGTAAAGGATGATAACTTTTATGAATCCTTAACAAAAGAACAGCTAAAAAAGGAGCTTGAACGAATACATGAGACATCAAGTGACAGCATTGTTGAAATGAGGGACAAACTAAAGGATTTTCAGCGTAAAAGGCATTGGTTAATATGGCATGATCACTCAACCTTGGCAAATCATGGTCATATGTTGTTTTGCTTAAGAGAATTATATGATCCAGCCATT